CCCGCGTCCCCTGCATCGGCAGGCGGACTCTCAACCACTGCGCCACCAGGGAAGCCCTCTTTCTGTAGTTTTTATCTTCCATGTAAATATAAGGATGATATCAGAAATGTTTCTAAGCTTCCTGTATATTCCTGGTGTCTTAGTCCATCCGATGGCGTCTAATACCATTAGATGCCTTTTAAACAGCAAACATTTATTTCTCACAGTTCTGGAGACTGGGAAGTCCAAGATCAAGGCTCTGGCATTTCGGTATCTGGTGAGAGCCCACTTCCCAGGTGGCCGTCTTCTCTCTGTAACCTTACTCAGCGGCCAGGGCAAGATTGCTCTTTGGGCTCTTCTTAATGGGCTCCACCCTGATGACCTAAGCACCTCCCAAAGGCTCCACTTCCTAATACACTCACCTTGGGGGTTGAGGGGGAACACAGACTTTCAGACCATAGCTCCTGGGGTCACCGACCTGCTTAAAGAGTGACCAGAGTCCCTGACCATTTACGGCTCTGGTTGGGAGAGAGCACCTGGGTCAGATGAGACAACCTGGGATAGAGTTGTGCCTCTACCACTAACCAGGTTTGTGATCATGTGGGAGATTCATGGGGCCTCAGCTTCCTCATCTGTGAAATAGGATAAAATTCTGGCCTCTGCTGGCTCACAGGATCATTGTGATAGCACTGTGGCTACTATAAAAAGGCAGGTTAATTGTAAAATTTTATTGTTATGAAAGTAGAAGAAACATCCAAAGCTTCAGCTTATATGCTATGCAGATTCTTATAACTACTAGCATTGTTTCACCCCTTCATTTTGTTTTATTTCCCTCCATTTCACTATTTCCCCTTTCTCTCCTTTTTCACAGAGTGCCTGAAGCGCGTGTTTCAGTGGCTTGGGTTCAGCGTGCATATTTTTGTCAATGTGACTAAAGGCCGACTAGAGGAGGTTCTGCAGTATTTTCAGACTCATCCAGGCCATGCTGATGGAGACTGCTTTGTGTTCTGTGTTCTGACCCATGGGAAATTTGGAGCTGTCTACTCTTCTGATGGGAACCTCATTCCCATCCGGCAGATCATGTCTCACTTCACAGCTCAGCAGTGTCCTGCTCTGGCTCACAAACCCAAACTCTTTTTCATCCAGGCCTGTCAAGGTGAAGAAATACAACCTTCCGTATCCATTGAAGCAGATGCAGTAAATCCTGAGCACGTGCCCCCTTCCCTTCAAGACAGTGTTCCCGTTGAGGCGGATTTCCTTCTTGGCCTGGCCACTGTCCCTGGCTACGTGTCCTTTCGGCACGTGGAGGAAGGTAGCTGGTATATCCAATCTCTGTATAATCAACTGAAGGACTTGGTCCCAAGGTGAGAGTTTTGAGTTGTTCCATTCACCTACTTGTTCATTCATTCATCTATCCACCTACCTGTTCATCCATCTATCCACCCACCCATGCATCCATCCATGCATCCATTCATCCATCCATCCACCCATCCAACACACCTGTATTGAGCACTGGCACGTAACTGGAAAGGAAGATACAGAATTTTAAAAAAGACACAGTCCCTGTCCTCAAGTTGCTCACAATCTGGAAAGACAGACAAGTATATGGGGAAGATCATTCCCTATGGTAAATATACATTGTAAAGCATAGGTGTTATGGGAACATATAGAAATAACACCTCACCCAGATTTGGAGGATCAGGGGAAGCGTCTAGAGATGCCAAATAGATGTTAGGTAAATAATCAGGGTGAAAGACATTCTGGGGAGAGGGAACAGCATCAGTATAGGCAGGGAGGCCTTTTATTTGTTCCTTCATTTATTTATTATCAATCACTTATATTTACTGAATGCCCGTGTGCTGCCTTTGGCATTATAATACCCTTGGTTTCCTGCCACTGCTCTGACAACTTTCCTTCTGTCTCTGTCACATGCTCTTTACCTGGCACAATGGAAATGGGCATTCACCAAGGTTCTGCCCCAGCCCCTCTTCTTTGCTGTCTCTCTATAGCCCCTTTTGGCAGCTTTACCTATACCTGGCGGCCACTGGCAACTCCATGAAAACATCTCTCAAATTGCCATCTCTGAGTTTCTGAAAGGCAGAGATGTTTCATTTAACCTTATATCCTTAGCACCCGACACAGTACCTGATACATTGTTGAGGCTGATAAGTATTTGCTGGACCAGTGAGTGCCGGGTTGAGTCAACCTCATTCTTCGGGTCAGTCCCGTGCATTTCTCACAGCCTGCCAGACATCCCACGCCTCTGTTGCCTTTGGGCCTCACCCTCAGTATGCACAGTCCTGAATTCATCTTCTTAGCCCTCTCCAGGGGTTCCTACTCCTGAATCCCCATTGCTAGGAGTGGTTTCAATTCTGGGAATTCAGGATTGGAAACCAGGATGGGAGCCTTGAGTCACCTTGGCTTTTCCTTCTTTACCAACCTCTCCATCAAAGACCAATTCCTATGGCTCCAGGGAAAATGCACTATTTATCCAGGGCCTGCTATGTGCCTACTGTGCTGGGGACTGAGCTGGGGGTTCGGGGTATCGTTGAGAACAAGAGAGACAAAATTTCTTCTCCATGGGACTTACCGCTCAGTGACAGGAAGACAGATAATAAAAATGTAAGTAAATGAATATATGAATTAGTGAGATAATTTTGGGAAGTAATACCTGCTATGAAAAGCAAAACAGGAAAATGATACAGAGTGTGGAGCAGGGAGCTACTTGAGAAGGCTTCCTGGTAGAGGTGATATTTCAAGTAAGACTGAATGATGGATGAGTCAGCCACAGGGAGATCTGGGGACAGAGAGAACAGCTCGTGTGATGCAGGATGCAGGTGCTGAGAACCAGTCATGAAGGCATGATTCAAACTTGAGTTCTGTCTCCAGAGCCTATGCTTTGCTTCCAGTGATATGTATTGCCCACCCCCAGAACATTCTGGTAAATGCCCACAAGCCCTGGATCAAATGCTGCCTCCTCTATGGAGTCTTCTCTTCTTCTCTCAGCCAGAGGCACTGTCTTCTCCTCAGAATTTGCAGGGGAACTTTGACCTACTTTTCATGCGGTGTTGATCACATTCTGCCTTGTATTATGGAGTTTGTCTCTATGCTATCCTTGGTACATGTTTCATGTCTGTATTCTAAGTGTTTAAGTTCAGGAATTGTGTCATGTTTGCCCTTTATCCCTCCCAAAACCTAGAATAGAGAGGGTATTATTAATAGTAGGCTCGGGCTTCCCTGGTGGCGCAGTGGTTGAGAGTCCGCCTGCCGATGCAGGGGACACGGGTTCGTGCCCCGGTCCGGGAAGATCCCACATGCCGCAGAGTGGCTGGGCCCGTGAGCCATGGCCGCTGGGCCTGTGCATCTGGAGCCTGTGCTCCGGCAAAAGGAGAGGCCACAACAGTGAGAGGCCCGTGTACCGCAAAAAAAAAAAAAAAAAAAAAAAAAAAAAAAAAAAAAAAGTTTGAAAAGACTGAAGAAGAGTTAGAGCCAGAGTCAGCTGTGGCAAGGATGTTGTAATTATTAGGCTGGGAATTTAAAACAACTATGATTAAAAAGGCAAAGCCAAAAAAAAAAAAAAAAAAAAAATAGTAGGCGCTCTCTCTATATATTTCTATCACCTCCTATTCTATCTATCTCTGTCTATCTATCTACCTACCTACCTACCAGCTTGAAGGAAGAACACAGAAAAATAATTATATGCAAAATGTCTTTGTGGACTAAGTGCATTAAAATGCAAGGTGTGATTATTATTATGATGTTCTTAAATACTGACTGTAGAATTGAAAAATTTTATATAATTTAACATTTCTTTTTTAATTTCAGAAAAAAATGTTTCTTTATATTTGGCAAAATTCCAGTTAGAATCTTGGCATGCTAGACTGGGAAGAAGCCATGTATTTTAAAATCTGTTTTCTAAGACCTGGTATGTGATTTCTATCTCCTGGTTGAAAATATATTTTCTTTTCTGCCTGCAGACAGGAAGATATCTTATCCATTCTCACTGCTGTCAACGATGATGTGAGTCGACAAGCGGACAAACACGGAACCAAAAAACAGATGCCTCAGCCTGCTTTCACACTACGTAAAAAAGTAGTATTCCCTGTGCCACAGGAAGAACTTTTACTATAGTAGAAAGTTTTGATCAGCGCTTAAACTTGAAAGGACCCTTTGGGCATCGCTTCCAACCTCCCACCTGTCATAGAAATCAGTGACAGGTAGTGAGCTGGCCTCCACCTGTCTTATCTAGTAGAAGAATATGCCCTATTTTCTGACACAACAAAATCTGTTTGTTTTTTTTTTGGATAAGTCTAAATGGTAGAAAACTTTCTTTGTTGAAGCCTTGGACTGTAGTCTTGAATTTATTTGTGCACCCCGAGAAAAAAGTGATTAGCTTTGGTTTGTGCATCTGTGAAGTAAAAGGTGGGACCTGGTGTATTTTAAGGTTCCTTTTAGCTCAGAACCACTGTTCGTGGCCTTGACTGAGCTTAGATTTCCCTTCTGTATATGCTCACCCCTTGTTATAATTCTGTGTCCCCTCTGCATGGCCTTGTTTTGGACACTGGATAATGATGAGATCATGGTTCAATGACCCTCTCCTTGTTCTCCCCTAAAATTTGATCTATGCCACACCCATTTCCTGCCTTAGTGTAAGGAAGGTGTTTCTGCAGGCAATGTTTCTCTTGGGCCGGGAACAGGTTTGGCTCTAGGAAGATGACAGCTCAGCGTGAAGACAGACACATCCAGCTGCTCTGGGAGCACAAACTTTACAACCTTGTATTAAATTCCATGTTGGTCAGGACCTTTCAGACTTCGCTCACAGAACACCCACCTCACACCAACTAAAGCAAAAAAGAAAATTGGTTGCTTCTTTCACCTGAAAACACATGAACGCGGAGAGTAGCTTTAGGTGAGGCTTGAATCAGGACTAAATCTGCACACAGCATCTCTCTCGGTCAGAGTCCTCAGGGTTGGCAGCTGACTGTAGTCAATAGCCCCTGCCTTAGCTCTAACACGCTCTGCTCCTCTGACCCAAAGTGACGAAGAGAGAGGTGGCCTCAGGGACTGAAGATTTTCACAGGGCTTGTTGCTCTCTCTGGCCAGGCAGTGTCTGGCTATGCCTTCTTAGAGGGGGAGGCTCTGTATGGAAGCCTTGATACTTTAAAAATTAAGGTTGTCAACATTCCTATGTAGTGAGCTTTTTTTTTTTAATTTCAAGAGGAATTTTTAATTCTTGGAAGGAATTAAATGTTAGTTCCTGGAAGGAGGGAGATCGAAAGTCCTGTGGTTAATGACTTCATTTATAGATGAAGAAACTAAAGCCCAAGGAGACAGAGTGATTTGCTACAACGTCCAGCCAGCTATCGTTTACAGGATTTTACTTCCCACTTAACTGATCTGGAATGTCATGGGTCATAACAGGACTTTATAAACATTTCTTGGATATGTAGGTGCTCATGAAAGATGTCAGGGAATGAAGAAAAAATAACTCAGTGATGCTTGATTTTATAATTATTTTTATGAAAGTCAGATTAATGTCTGGCAAATTTGCAATGAGAAATATTCATAAGAACCTTGTTATAATGTAGCTAGTAATCACATGGATTTGAATGTAGGCTGACCAAGGAAACAAATCTCATATATGTCAGGATGATCTTCCAAAATCATTGTTCATACAAGTCAAAGCTAACAGCTGGTGGGTACCGTCTTTGTCCCATTGGATATACACAGCTTTTGGCCATTGAACAGTCCTTTGCTAGTTGAAGGATGATTTGGTACAAAGGAAAGAGCAAAGAGTCTGGAGAGAGAAGCCTTGGGTTTCTGTTGTATGCTGTGATTTCCTTGCTCTGAGACACTAAGTCAAGCTAGTTTTTTGAGCCTTATCTATATAGCAGAGAAGTATTATCTGTTGGGAGGATTAAGGTTTAAATCTAATTGTGGCGTGGTGCCTATAAGGCCCATGGTAGCAGCATTCTGGTAGTAACCTTAATGGAAATAGCAGAGTTTGAGTTCCTTTGTATCTAATTCCTGC